TGTATTCAGGCCCAAGCTTTGAATATTTATTGAATTTGTGTATTGTTTATTTAGATTCCTGTGTACGACGCCAACTCCTCCCTCAATGATACAGTGAATTAATACTGACCAGAGTACGTTGATTTTGCCCCTTGAGTATGATGATTTAACCTCTTGAATACGATTATCTAAGTCATTAAGTCATCGTACCTGGATTAAGTCATCATCTTCAAGGGATTAATTTAAGGATATAAACACACACACACACACACACACACACACACAGAGGCAGGTTGTTGAGACATCACCCTACCATGAAGGAGTCAGTGTGTGTGTGTGTGTGTGAGACAACAGACAGACACACCGACAGAGACGTTCCTCCTCTCAAAGGTGTCTGGAGGACTCAGAGTGGCCGCTTCCTTCTGCTGTTCATTGAGGAACCTTCTCATTATCTTACGACCAAGGATAAATAAACGAGTCTTGGCATCACCTTAACATTACACACCCCAGGCTTATTGCATCTAGCCTAACCTAACCTAACCTCACCTAACCTAACCTAACCTCACCTCACCTAACCTAACCCCCCCCCAACCCACCGGTAGTGTCAGGGTATTTAATCATGAGGTGAAATAAGCTGAGCGGGTAGGGGGGGTAATCTTCAGGTGAACCGACTCTTGAGTACCTTATACCGACAAATAAACAAATAATTGGTGTCCCCAGTGACCCTTAGTCGACCACACTGCAGCTGGTCCCCCATGAAAGGTTAACTCATATATTATATCTTAAACTAAAGATACAGATTAATGTAAGTCTTCTAGTGTGTGTGTGTGTGTGTGTGTGTGTGTGTGTGTGTGTGTGTGTGTGTGTGTGTGTGTGTGTGTGTGTGTGTGAGAGAGAATCAGGAGGAAATGAGGCGTGGAGGAGGAGGGGCCAGGGTGATAAGGGGGATGAAAGGAAGGGGGAGGGATGAGGGAAGGGGGACAAGCGAGGGAGAGAATTAAATGGAAAGGAGGAATGATGGAAGGAAACAGAAAGAATGAAGGAGGGAAGAAGGAAGGAAGGAAGGAGAGAGTCTTTACGTCAATAAGGCTGAAGAACATAAGAACATAAGAAAATAAGGCGTTCGCAATAGGCCGGTTGGCCTGTGCATGGCAGCTCCTGTCGAGAGTTACTACCACTCTCTATCATCCATGAATCTATCCAGCCTCCTTTTGAAACTTTCCAGAGTTCCCACTTACTACAAAGTTGCTAAGCTTGTTCCACTCGTCCACCACCCTATTTTGAACCAGTTTCTTCCTTATCTCCTAAACCTAAACTTATCCAACCTTAAATCCGTTGCTCCGAGTCCTATCCTGCTCGGATATTATAAGAACTTTATCTATATCCCCTTTATTGATTCCTTTCACCCACTTAAATACTTCTATCATATCTCCCCGCACTCTTCGTCTTTCTAGGGAATGCAAGTTAAGTTTTCTTTTAACCTATCTTGATATGGAAGGTTTCTAAGTCCCGGCGTAACATTACTCAGGACAGACACTCGCTGGTTTACGGCGTGGCTTACAAACAGTGATGGGATTGGTCGGCGGGAACACCTCCAAGGTAACTCAATTAGCCAATCAGCGGAGTCCAAAAGGCTAGGTACAGTTCTAACGCTTCTAAAGATCTGCTTTTACTGAGGGCCAACTGCCGACTCAGTTAGTTTTAAGATTTATCATTTTTTTTAAACTGAGTTATTGTTTGATCTATTTAGTGGACTCGCTGACTGACTCATTTACGGATACTTATTCACTCACTGACTCAGGTGTGGGTACGTGTGTAGATATGGTGTGGGTAGTTATAGACGTGGATGGTCAATACCCTCATCAAGGACGCTGCATACCCTCTCCACCCACCTACCCACCCACACACGCGCGAGCTAACAGCAACACCTTGAATCACCTTTGCAATTCATTTAGGCTCTCTGTTGTGCGTGGAGAGTCAATACATAATGTTTACTCTTCCCTTCCTCCTCCTCCTCCCTCCTCTCCTTCTCCTTCTTCTCCTCTCCTTCTCCTCTCCTTTCTTCTCTCCCTTCCGTCCAATTCCCTGACGAACACAAACCCAGAAACGGTATTAAAGGTACAGATAATTACAGGTATATTCTGTATTAGTACACAGACACATAAATACAGTTACAGGTACATAAACACATAATGATACAGAATTACAGGTGTAGGTACAGATAGGATGGAGGTTACAGGTGTGTGTGTGTGTGTAAGGCCAGGTGTGTGCCGTCCAGTGAGCCATATAGGGGGTCGACCAAGGTAACTTCCTCATTACTGGTGATTAATCCTACTATCACCACTACTATCACTACGCTACCACCACTACCACCACCACTATCACCGCTACCACCTTCACCATTTCCACTGAGCACTATCCAAGTAGAGAGAGAGAGAGAGAGAGAGAGAGAGAGAGAGAGAGAGAGAGAGAGAGAGAGAGTCATAAGGGAATACCCCACAGCGAGACAGTGACGTCACTTCCTGTCCTAGTGTTGACAGTAGGGCAGTAGGACAGGTGAACAAGGTCTTCCGTCCTGTCCTGCACTGTCTCAATTAGGTTACAAGAACAACACCTGTATCCACCTGCTTGATACAGTCACCACGAGGGAATTACTGTACCTGTAACTTTTACTTACATCTGTAATTTATACTTTCGTGTGTAAATTAACTTTCATATTATCTATAGGAAGTACTAACCTAACCTAACCGAACCTAACCTAACGTAAACCTAACGTAACCAAACCAAACTTAACCTAACCAAACCAAACACAAAACGCTGATTACTGAGCTGAATAAAGTGAGATCTTGTTATTTTTGTATCTCTATTTTTGGTTTAGTTGATATTTATTGTTTATGTTACGTGTTTATGATATCTGGACGGACGGACGGACGGACTGGGAAGGGGAGAGTGTGCCCCGGAAGAGTGCGGAGTAAAGTGTATGTTAGGTGTAGTCAGGAAGCTACACCCACGATTTATACATTCCTTCCCTCCAACCTCCTTCCTTCGCTCCCTTCCTTCTCCTCTTCTCCATCTCTACTTTCCCCTTTCCTCCACCCACCCCTTCCTCTTCCCTTTCCCCCACCCACCTTTTTCTTCCTTTCCCCCACCCTTCTTCCTCTTTCCTTTCCTCCACCCACCTGTTTTTTCTCTCCTCACGTCCACTAATAGTTCCAGAATTACAGGCAGTTGACGCACCTGAGGGAAAACAAAGAACAATACTTGATTACAGGTGTGGTGGTGCTAGTTACAGTTGTGGTGGTGAAAGTTACAGGTGTGGTGGTGCAAGTTACAGGTGTGGTGGTGCAGGTTACAGGTGTGGTGGTGCGAGCAGGTGTGGTGGTGAAAGCAGGTGTGGTGGTGCAGGTTACAGGTGTGGTGGTGCAGGTTACAGGTGTGGTGGTGCTAGTTACAGGTGTGGTGGTGAAGGTTACAGGTGTGATGGTGCAAGTTACAGGTGTGGTGGTGAAGGTTACAGGTGTGGTGGTACTAGTTACAGGTGTGGTGGTGCAGGTTACAGGTGTGTGGTGCAGGTGTGGTGGTGCAGGCACATGTGGTGGGTACAGTTGTGGTGGTGAAAGTTACAGGTGGTGGTGCAGGTTACAGGTGTGGTGGTGCAGGTTACAGGTGTGGTGGTGCTAGTTACAGGTGTGGTGGTGAAGGTTACAGGTGTGATGGTGCGTTACAGGTGTGGTGGTGAAGGTTACAGGTGTGGTGGTACTAGTTACAGGTGTGGTGGTGCAGGTTACAGGTGTGGTGGTGCAGGTTACAGGTGTGGTGGTGCAGGTTACAGGTGTGATGGTGCTAGTTACAGGTGTGGTGGTGCAGGTTACAGGTGTGGTGGTGCAAATTACATGTTTGGTATAAGGTTTTCCCGAGACAGGTAATTTGTTTTCCCTGTAATTAAAAAAAGAAAAAAGTATAGTATTTTCTATTTTGTGTAAGAAAGTTAAATATATTTTCTTTTGATTCCTACGAAGGTTGTCTTATGTGTACTTTCTATTTGGGAAGGGAGAGTGCTTTCTAAATACTTTCTCTACTGTATGTAATAAAAAAGTACCGTATGTTGTGTATTCTGAAGCGTTCCTACTTTAATAAGTGAGTGTGGCCAGGGAGGAGGGGAGGAGGAGGAGTGAGTGCGTGAGCGTGAGGAGTGAGTGAGTGAGTGGGTGCGTGAGTGTGAGTGTGTACTTACCATGATAACCCCTCCTGTTGTTGCGATAATAAGTGAGTAATTCAAGATGACGCAGGAGGGCGCCACCAGCCCTCCCAACACGCACCACTCACCCACCACTAACACGCAAGAGAGGGCTGAGGGGGATAAGATGCTAAGAGGGGCTAAAATGTACTCTAAGACGCTAAGAGGGGCTAAAATGTACTCTAAGATACTAAGAGGGGCTAAAATGTACTCTAAGACGCTGTA